TTTTATTTTATTATTTTTTTTTAACAGCGTATCAGATGTTTTGCATGTTATTTAGAGTCAGAATTTTAGATTGTATAAATTTTGGGGAGTTAATAATGAATCCCTAATCAACACATACTTGGAGGGAGAAAAGTTGGATTCATGCCTTTCCCAATGGCATTTGTGCGCGTAAATGAATATAAAGAACACAACTGGAATTGGAACTCGGCTATCCGACTTTCAACTCTAAGCCGCCATCCATTACACCACCCTCACGTTTATGCTTACAGCACCTGGTATTCCCATGTCGTCACCCATGGAGGTATTGAGCATTGTTGCTTAACATTGGCGAACGCGCAGGAACTGGTGTTTCAATGAGATAGGTTAGATAGATACGGAGAGACTGAAAAAAGATATGGAGAGACTGAAAAAAGATATGTAGAAACATCTCCCACTCTCTCTCATATATATATATATATATATATATATATGGTTGGATTGATGTGAGCTTGTGACCCTGTGTTTCACGCTTGTTTGTCTGACGATCGCAAAAGCGGGAAACCCAGGGTTACAAACTCACATCAATCCAACCAAATATGTTAGCTCTCTCTCTGATGTTGAGCGCTTTCTAATAAGTACCGCGCATATAATATATATATATATATAAATATAGATAGATAGAGAGAGAGAGAGAGAGAATCCGACATAATTAAAATATAACGGGAAAATAAGAAACTAATTCAGCATATTTCGCTTTTTATTATAACTTCATCAGAAAACGCAATATGGAGGAGAAAGAAAGTTCTGGTATTTTAATTTGGTTATGTTTGTTTTTACCTCGGGTACATCTGATTCTCAAGCAGCGTTCGTGTGTGTATGATTCATGTTTGTACGTGTTTTATACTTCTAGTTTGTCTATGCAGGAATGATAATCCCTATTCGTTTGTATGCGTCTAGCAGGCATTTTTATCCATGTTTTTGGTTATCCATATTTTGATTTGGAGACGTTTTATGTCAATGGTAAAGAATTTAAGGGCGTCTATCATGAAACAGCCTGTCGCCTCTGAGTGTTGACTTCAATGTTCACTTTTATATTTATATTTACATAAGCACTGTCTCTAATAATGAACACTTTATCTCATAAATATAGCACACCTTAAAACTATATTTCTTCATATGTGTGTGTGCGTGTGTATGTGTGTGCGAAAAGTGCGCAATAAATAAAGATATATGAGCAGAAAGAGATAGATACAAAGAGACTGAATCGTACGAAAACAGGTGTTTCAACGTGATATTCACATTAGCGGTACATTTCTTATGAATATATAAATATTAACAATAGATGTGGGGGTCCTCGACTTACGTCAGATATCAGTTACTACGGTGCGATGTAACCTGATTTTCGACTTAGGTCGGATCTCACCTACATAAGTACCCACGAGTCGCTTCGGTGGCCATAATGAAGGGGAAAATAAACAATGCGCCGACGTATTATATTATGGGAGATGCCGCCGTAACCCTGAAACGCCATACGTCCGATATAACCAGACTACGTTTTGTATATATATATATATGTGAAAAGTGCGAGGAAATATTTTTCAGCGCGAAAACACTTAATATGACATGTATACAGTAACGAGACATTTCCGCCACACTTCGAATGATTAAATTTCAACATACAAATGCGTATGTATAGATATAACACCACCCGTATACATACATGTGTCATAGCCGAAACTGTCTACATATGTTTATATATGTATGAGTCCCGACGGACGACCAAGTATGTATATGTGTCTGCATACATCGATGTTTGCGTTAGTACGATGAATGACAAAACGACGAAATTTTCCCCACCACTTCCACAATAACACCAATACACGCAATCTACATGAACCCAAATTTTTAAAACATTAATCAGTTTGTCTGACGATCGCTAAAGCGTGAAAAACCAGGGTCACAAACTCACATCTATCCAACCAAATATATATATATATATATATATATATATATATATATATATATATATATTTTCATGCTTGTTGGTATAAAATGCAAAACCAGTGCCATATTTTTTTTGACGTTATCAGTTGTCTTTGTCCAAATCTTTTAAAATGGCCGAGACAGATTTTAATATAATTTTGCTTTTAGAACAAGTAACATTGAAACGTTAAAAATTAGAATTAAAAAAAAAATAAAACTTTGGAAGTTGCGAATAATATATTTGCTTCGTTTGTTTGTATTTAATTTTAGAGCACAGGACGCATGTGACTGGATTCTTTGAAAATTGTCTTTTTACACCTGTCTATATTTCTGTATTGTAACTATTTGCTATATTGGCATTTTTCGGACATTTTTTTCCTCATATTTATTATATTCACGATGTTTCGACCGTTGTACGCTCCAGCCTTCTTCAGGCGATGCATACTGGAATTTAGAACCTAGCCCTTTATATAGTCCAATAGAGTGGATTGTTTTTGTTCCACGTGCGATGCCTCTTATGGATGTTTCAATGAATTCCGTTTAATAACTCAACTCTCCATGTTTTTTTTCACCTCTACTGTAGCCAGGTATTGAACTCACAACTCTTTGGGTCAAGAGTATTACTTTAACCAACGCTTCTATCCACCGGGCATTCATTTATTTAAAAACAAAATCTTATTTTCAGCTTTTCAGACATTAATATTTATATTCTCAATCTTTTTGAAAAGAATCCAAATATCTGTGTGTGTAGGTAAATTAAAACGTATTCTTAGATTTCAGGAAATAAATTAATGATAAAAGAAATGAATGTTTTCTTCCTTGATTGATTCGTTTCTACGGCTTTACACTTTGCGCGTTATTTAAAGCCAGAAAATATAATTTTAGATTGTAAGAATTTTTTTGCAGATAATGATATAGTAATACAGGTTTTACTAATTAATCCATAGCGGGGAGAGAAGACGTGGATTCATACGTTTCCCAAGTTTATTTGAAGGTAAGTGAATATAAAAAAAATACCGGGAATTGGAATACAGATCTCCGATTGATAATTCCAAGCCATAATCCGTTGCACGACCGGCACGTGCAAGCTTATAGCAACTGGTATTACCAGGGGCTCACCCGTCTAGGCTCGAATTTGCTTAACTTCGGTGATCGTACGGGTACCGGTGTTTCAATGCGATGTCATCGTAAACCTATGTAACACATGTATAATAATAGATAAATTATTAACTGAATATAACGCAACAATTAATAGTAGTCGCGTGAGGAATGATTTACAAAAATCAGTCAAATTTAAACATCTAAATATAAACTGGAAGAAATTCGAGATAGACGATGTGTATATCTCCTTTTATATAACGTCGGCTCCGCAACGGATTATCGACCAGGAATTTACTGAGATATATAAAATATCCCATACATATATGCTCAGTTAGCCTTTCCACTAAACCCATAGATAGGGGGAGAATACTAAAGTAAACAGTGTCTGTCATCTGTCGATTAAATATTGCGTGCTCTCATACACAGTTTTGTCATATCTGAGAAAAATCCCTTGAGGCAAGTACGACCTTGAACAAAAAATATTACATTTATCTGGCCTTAGATGTCATTCTTTTCGCAGTATGTCGCATCGGCTGTATTCAGGACAGTACCCCAGGGTTTCTAACTACACATTAAAACGCTTTATTTTACCAGGCGAAATGTTTTCTTCTAATAGTAAATGGAATCGCGCAATGAGGTTTCTATGTGTCGATTTCATTGTCTCAAGCAGGGAAATGTTGCCGACTGCTTATCAGCGACGGAGAGAGTATTATGAGTGAGATTACTTCCTTATACATACCAGCTTGATTCTTATTCCATGTGCCGTGTCGCTTCAGGATGTGAGCAGTCATGGCTATCTGCAACTTCTTATAACTCGTAGCGCTTAGCTGTTTATGAAATTTCAGCTTCATTTTTCTGATTCTGAATTCTTTTTGTTAGTATTTACTATATTCTAATATTCATCATAGTTCATGCTCGCTACAAAGTCGAAAACTCCAGGGAAGAGCCTTGGAGTGAGTAACTCGTTTTCTCTCCCGAGGAAATCTTGCATCCTCACTAGTTACTGTCTACTCAATTCAGGGACAACTACCAAGACACGTCATATTCTGATTCTTTTCTTTTATACTTGAAGTAACCCTTAACATTATAACACTTCCTTTATTCTGCACATGAATTTTTGCCTCCCAGAGCAACTCATTGGGCTCTGAGATTGCCAAATTTCATCATCATAGGTTGTGCGTGGGATATATTATTTACAGTTTTTAGACGTTGTGGATCCCGGACAATGTTGGTAACGGTAATATTAGCAGTTTTCTAATATGAGACATTTCGGCATTAGCTGACCCAGCATGCAATGCCAGTTTCGGCTGAGATGTAGAATGTTTTTATATTTAAATAATTTTTCAAGAAAATAAATTTCTGAAGTCCAGTAGCTGTTATCGCTCTTTTCAGTAATGACGGGCGTTTCCTTCCTAAACTTATATTCTTCTTCCTTCTTAATCTCTTGCTCGAATTACTGCGGAAATCAACATCATGATGGTGTCACCGTTTACGTCTCGCGTTATATGTGACATCTAGTTTAGTTGACGATACAACTTATTTACTTTAAATGACACATATATGATCTGGCTTAGTCTTTAAATGAAACATATATGATCTGGCTTAGTCTTTTTCTTCTCATTCTGTTGATTACTTCATTTCTTGGCACTTCACTTTATATTTTTTAAAATTTTGTCAAAGATGTAGACTAAAGAAAAAAAAAAGGTTTTTCGTTTGTTTACATTTTGTCTAATGTGTACCGAAAAAAGTCGGAGTAATCAAGATGGTAATTAGAGAAATCCGTGATAGTTCTGGGCGTCTGGAGGAAGAGTTGATTAAAAACTAAAGAGATATGAAAAAAGAACAAAAGATAATATGAAATAAAAATCAAGTAAAACAAAAGAGAAGTTCAGTGAAGGTATTTCGAAGAGACGAACACGGAAGATAAAAGAAAAAATGGAGAAAAAAATAGGAAGACTTGCAGTGATAACAGCCAGTCAAAAGATATATATATATATATATAAGAAAGGAAGGAAGGAAAAGCATGGTAGGAAAGAAGGCAATGGAAAGGAAAAGTAAAAACAGTGAAAAAATGCAGGGAGGATGGAGTAAAGCGGCGATAAGAAAATAAATCGGAGGGAATAAAGTGAAATGAAGACGAGAAGAAAAGGAATGAAGGCGAGAAGGAAGGCGAGAAGAAAAGGAATGAAGGGAAGAAGAAAGACGGGGAGGAAAGGAATTAAGGCGAGAAGAAAAGCGGGAAGAAAAGGAATGAAGGCGAGAAGAAAAGCGGGAAGAAAAGGAATGAAGGCGAGAAGAAAAACGGGAAGAAAAGGAAGGAAGGCGAGAAGGAAGGCGAGAAGAAAAGGAATGAAGGGAAGAAGAAAGACGGGGAGAAAAGGAATTAAGGCGAGAAGAAAAGCGGGAAGAAAAGGAATGAAGGCGAGAAGGAAGGCGAGAAGAAAAGGAATGAAGGGAAGAAGAAAGACGGGGAGAAAAGGAATTAAGGCGAGAAGAAAAGCGGGAAGAAAAGGAATGAAGGCGAGAAGAAAAACGGGAAGAAAAGGAAGGAAGGCGAGAAGAAAAACGGGAAGAAAAGGAAGGAAGGCGAGAAGAAAAACGGGAAGAAAAGGAAGGAAGGCGAGAAGAAAAGGAATGAAGGCGAGAAGAAAAGGAATGAAGGCGAGAAGAAAAGCGGGAAGAAAAGGAATTAAGGCGAGAAGGAAGGCGAGAAGAAAAGGAATTAAGGAGGAGAAGGAAGGCGAGAAGAAAAGGAATTAAGGCGAGAAGAAAGACGGGAAGAAAAGGAAGGAAGGCGAGAAGAAAAGGAATTAAGGCGAGAAGAAAGACGGGAAGAAAAGGAATTAAGGCGAGAAGAAAGACGGGAAGAAAAGGAATTAAGGCGAGAAGAAAGACGGGAAGAAAAGGAATTAAGGCGAGAAGAAAGACGGGAAGAAAAGGAATTAAGGCGAGAAGAAAGACGGGAAGAAAAGGAATTAAGGCGAGAAGAAAGACGGGAAGAAAAGGAAAAAGAGAAGAAAGACGGGAAGAAAAGGAATGAAGGCGAGAAGAAAGACGAGAAGAAAAGGAATGAAGGCGAGAAGAAAACCGGGAAGAAAAGGAATGAAGGCGAGAAGAAAAACGGGAAGAAAAGGAATGAAAGCGAGAAGAAAAACGGGAAGAAAAGGAATGAAAGCGAGAAGAAAGGGGAAGAAAAGGAATGAAGGCGAAAAGAGAGGCGGGAAGAAAAGGAATGAAGGCGAGAAGAGAGGCGAGAAGAAAAGGAATGAAGGCGAAAAGAGAGGCGAGAAGAAAAGGAATGAAGGCGAGAATGAAAGGAATGAAGGCGAGAATGAAAGGGGAAGAAAAGGAATGAAGGCGAAAAGAGAGGCGAGAAGAAAAGGAATGAAGGCGAGGAGGGAGGCGAGAAGAAAAGGAATGAAGGCGAAAAGAGAGGCGAGAAGAAAAGGAATGAAGGCGAGATGAGAGGCGAGAAGAAAAGGAATGAAGGCGAGAAGAGAGGCGAGAAGAAAAGGAATGAAGGCGAGAAGAGAGGCGAGAAGAAAAGGAATGAAGGCGAGAAGAGAGGCGAGAAGAAAAGGAATGAAGGCGAAAAGAGAGGCGAGAAGAAAAGGAATGAAGGCGAAAAGAGAGGCGGGAAGAAAAGGAATGAAGGCGAAAAGAGAGGCGAGAAGAAAAGGAATGAAGGCGAGAAGAAAAGGAATGAAGGCGATAAGAAAGAGAGGAAGAAAAGGAATGAAGGAGAGAAGAATGGCGAGGAGAAAGGGAATGAAACCCTGAAGAAAGGTGGGCAAAGGGAACGAAGGCCACAAGAATGGGGAGGGAGGGAACGAAGGCCAGAAGAAAGGTGGGCAAAGGAAACGAAGGCCAGAAGAAAGGGGAGGGAGGGAACGAAGGCCAGAAGAAAAGGGAGGGAAGGGAACGAAGGCCAGAAGAAAGGGGAGGGGGGGGGAACGAAGGCCAGAAGAAAGGGGAGGGAGGGAACGAAGGCCAGAAGAAAGGGGAGGGAGGAACGAAGGCCAGAAGAAAGGGGAGGGAGGGAACGAAGGCCAGAAGAAAGGTGGGCAAAAGGAACGAAGGCCAGAAGAAAGGGGAGGGAGGGAACGAAGGCCAGAAGAAAGGGAGGGGGGGAACGAAGGCCAGAAGAAAGGGGAGGAGGGAACGAAGGCCAGAAGAATGGGGAGGGAGGGAACGAAGGCCAGAAGAATGGGGAGGAAGGAAACGAAGGCCAGAAGAATGGGGAGGAAGGAAACGAAGGCCAGAAGAAAGAGGGGGGGGGGAGCGAAGGCCAGAGGAAAAGGAGAAACAGAAATGAAGGTGAGAAAAACAGGAAAAAAAATGTGTCGAGAAACGGTGGGCGCAAGATGAAAAGAATAATGAAGAGATCTAATGTAAATAAAAGGGGAGATGATTCAGGGAGGGTGAAGCGACAAAAAACACACGCAGTGTTTGTGGATGGAAAGAAAAATTCAGATCGAATTATGGTGGATTATGATGACAAGTTACTCTCGAAACTGCTTCTGAATCCTTATAAATGGTTTTTCACGTCGATCATTTAGGATAACGGAACAGTAAATACAATAATACAAATTTATACTAAAACGTAATTATCAATAAATCAGACATTTTCTTTTCTATACTTCTATAATTCTAACTAAGATTTTTTTTACCCGTTGATTGTACTGGGTTCACATGTGATGGCCAAAGCAAGATCATGGCTAACTCTCCGACCCATTCTTTTTAACAATATTTTCATATTTTGGGAATAATTCTATTTTCTTTAAGACAATTCCAATCGTTTGAGAGCTTGTGCTTTATTTCAATAAAAGGTTGAATTGGGGGTTGTAATATTTTTATCTTTGTTTTTTTTTATATTCATTTAAATCTTTTCGTGCTTACAGCCATACCACGTTGAAACACCGGTACGTTCACCTAAGCAACAGAATTCAACATCCGTTTCCTTCTTATAACATGGAATGAGAAATTTATGGTTCTCAAGCCTTTTTGGGTGATTTAGTAGAGAAGAATCAATCTTGACTTATTCCGAGCGTTTATCAAAAACCGAAATTTTGCAGTTAATATTTGCTTTGTGAATTTTAGTCCGGTATAAAGTGAAATTAGTCTTATTGGTACCTTTTTGGTTCATCATGTTAACTGGCCTCCAAATAAACAATGGCCTGAGTAAAATTCTACCAGGACTTCTTATCATGGCAAACCGTTCGGCCTTTTGCAAACATTATCAGAAAGAACATCGGCCTTTTAATACTGACAACCGAGTCTTCATTTACGTGACAGTGTATTTACATTGGAAGGACTTCGCAAAACTTAGAGTGCAGGATCAAGCAACAGGTTGCAAATTTGTTCCGAATCGATCAGTCGACTTAAGCAACGCCATTGATAAAATCATATTTTGAACTCAACCATTGGCCAGGAATTGATCGGGGATGCTATCTCTGCAATACAACAGTTTTGGCATTCTGAACGTGATACGTTCCACCGTTTCTTTGCAACACAATAACTTGCAATACACATTGCCAAATATAAGTCACTCACTATTTACATTATTCGAACTAATGTCCTCATCTTTGTCGCCATGTTTATCACAACGTTTCGGCCGTTGTACGCTCCGGCCTTCTTCAGGTGGTTGGAATGTCGAACTGAACCCTTTATTTCGCTCAATGGGGTAGACTGTTCTAGTTCCACGGGTCATGTCTTATGGATGTCAGTTATCTTCTTTTAATTCCTCTCTCATAGTTCTCCACTGCCTTTGGGTACTGTCACTGGATCTAACTAACGCCTTTATTCCCTGTGTCCTTCTGGACATCTGTGTATGGAATTATGGGTATTATAAACCTAATGTCTTCAGCAACCATTTTTTTTTAGTGCTCATATTGTAATTTTTGCTATTTTAGACATGGCATCTTAGAACTAGAACATTCTACCCCAGTGAGCAAAATAAAGGTTTCAGTTCGACATTCCAAACACGGCCGGAGCTTACAACGGTCGAAACGTTGTATAAACATGGCGAGGCGACAAAGGTGAGGGCAATAGTTCGAATAATATAAAGTGTACATAATAGCTCATCTCAGAAATATAGACAGATACATAAGTCAGTCACTCTTTTCTCTTCTGTAAGTCGACAGATACAATGTATTTTTTAAACCAATTTACATCGTTTGTATTGCTTCTTACGGTCAAAGATATAAAATCTATTAAACGATCCTAATGAGAGTTGATCGAAAAACTATCCGCTTAAAAGGAATTGCACCGCATGTGTCGTGACAATTAATGTCAATGTAGCGTCGATTTTTCAAACTATATTTAAATTCGCTATTTTAAGAAGCTGCTGGGAAATATTTTCTCAATGATACGCTATCATTGAGATTTGAAAATACCAGTACATTGTTGAAAATCCGTGGGAAATGAAAACCTGATCTTTCATGATGCGTAAGAAGTCTGGCTCAATTTTCTTTTGAGAGTTTTTCAACATGAGTTCGGTTTTTCAGTTACCTTTTAACATATTTATCCTCTTTCTCTCTCATACACACACATGTAATGGATTAAGTTCCAAAATTAATATATTTTCTATTTTATATGAATTATAACAGATACAATTTAAGTAAATTTGTATTTTTTTATATTAAACAGTATTAATGAAATTTACCGGGCCGAATGTAAGAGTAATTTCTCCGACAGGAAAGAAGAGCAATATTCTTTATTTTAGGATATTAGATCGAAAACATGTCCAAATCGCTACATAATTGCAGTCGTATTTTGATGCGTATCAACGTATCTCATCAGGCGTTTGTAAATTACTGGCGACTAATTTACAATAATAGCCTGATGAGATGTGTTGACACGCATCGAAAGAAGAACGATTTAGACATGTTTTCGATGTAATATTCTAAAATAAAGTGTATATATATATATATATATATATATATATATATATATATATATATAATATTAGTGATAAATATCCTCCCTCTTATTCTAACAGATTGTCTATGGTGTGTGTATGTCACCACGAAATATATCTTTATGCATTAGACATCCGTCAACATTCATTTTTTCCCTTAATTAAACGCCTTCCACCCATCTCTCCTAAAATTCTCTCTGTTAAGGTTTAATCTCCCTCCTCCTCATACTTACACTCTCTCTAAATTCTGTTTTTATTTCCGGAGTGGGTTTTTTTCTGTTTTCTTTTTGAATTTGTAGGTCTGACGAATTGGATCGTATTTACGATTCCAATGGAATAAATTATGACCATGGAATATTAGTGTTTAAGTTTTTTATTATTATATATATATATATATATATATATATATATATATATATATATATATATATTTTATTTATTTATTTATGTCTTTGTGTATATATATATATATATATTTTGTGTGTGTGTGTGTATATATATATATATATATATATATATTTATGTGTGTGTGTGTATATATATATATATATATATATATCCCCAAAAGACACTAAGATGCAAAGGATTACTGAGTATAAGAGAAAAAGAGTAAACGAAAGCATTATTAAGGAGAGAGAACAGTAAGAGACAGAAGATAAAGTTTGACATTGTATTTCAAGTTTTGAATAACGAAGTTGACTTTAAAGCAAGAAGCCAAAAGAGAGTTTCGCAATCGAAAAGTACGAGAGATTAAACTGATCATGTAGAACTTCCGGTTCCATCTAGCAAGCTCAACTGTAAGATGAGGAAATTTTGCCGCTAATCTAGTAGTATGCTTTAATTCATAAAATCTAGCTACCAATGAGGAAAGCTCATCAGAACAATTAACATGAAGATATTTATAGAAAAAGCACAAGGACGCGATGTTACGGCCCTGGGAAAGTGACTGAAATCCTATATCAGGTCAGCATCGATAATATTTCACATTCCTCTTTTACTTTGTCAATCTCTAAATACACATCAGAGGCACTGGACCAGACCCGAGAGCAATATTCAATGGATACACCAACGGTAGACATATTAATGTGCAAGATATATTCTGGAGAGATATATAGTATACCCAGAGTGTTTATTGATATTTATAAGAATAGGTTGTAAATAGGAATATTTGAATTTTACAACGGCCAGCTTTCAATCTGCACCTGATGATTGCATCGGGGATGAAACTGTTTTGCTAAACCTGAGTAACAAAATACATATATGTATATAACTTCTTTAGCGAGTGCATATATTCCCTTGCACGCTATTGTAATTCTATAGATAACACATCTGTCAAGTTCTGTTTTTTTTTTTTTTTGTCGTAATGTTTCTTCTTATTCCATTATTATTATTATTATGGATCAGCCATTTTGAAAACAATTCTAAAATGATCGTTTTAATAAAAAAAAAAATTCAAAATATTGTAAAACAAGATCTATTTCAAAAACCATTAAATATCTCTTTACCAATATATCAAAGATCACATTTAAAGATATCATATTTGGGTAACTTTAGATTTTCCTTGGCGGCGATGGTAAAGGGTTCGCGGAGGGGGGGGGACAAAGATATCAATAGTTTTTTTTTGCTTTTGTGAATATAAAAGGGGGAAATATAGACGATGAATAAAGTAGCGGTCATCTCATCTTACGTCATATACAGAGCTCTCAATGAAACACTTGAAAAAATATATCTATCAATCAAAATATTTTCTTGATCTGGAAATAAACAAAGAATACTGACTGAAAAGCAACAGTGACTTTTAGATGAGCCAGAGGTAGATAAACTGGATTCATTTCGAAAAGACTTTAGACTAATTTAGAATATACACTAAGAACAAAACGTTACACTCTTTACATTATTCGGTCTATTGTCCTCATCTTTGTCGCCATATAGATACTGAAGGGCCCAACCCATATTTATTACAACGTTTCGGCCTTTCAGTATCTCTCTATATTTCTGAGATGAGGTATTATGTACATTATTTAAATTATTCGGACTATTGTCCTCATCTTTGTCGCCATATTTATTACAACGTTTTGCCCCTTCAGTATCTGTCTATATTTCTCAGATGAGGTATTATGTACATTATTTATATTATTCGGACTGTTGTCCTCATCTTTGTCGCCATATTTATTGCAACGTTTCGGCCGTTGTGCGCTCCGAATTTCTTCCATGACACAGTGGATAAAGGCTTTATTTAGATCCAGTGACAAGACCCAAAGAGTGTGAGTTCAATACTTGGTTAAGGCAGTGGAGAACTTGGAGAGGGGAATTAACAGGAGATAACTGATAACTGACATGCATTAGACATGGCGCGTGGAACTAGAACAGTCTACCCCAGTGAGCGAAATAAAGGGTTCAGTTCGACATTTCAACCACCTGAAGAAGGACGGAGCGTATAACGACCGAAACGTTGTAATAAATATGGCGAGAAAGATAAGGACAATAGTCTGAATAATGTAAACAGTGTATATAATACCTCATCTGAGAAATATAGACAGATAACAAAATGTTAGCATGCGTTTTTCGCAAAATGAATTAAGTACCCCAAAACAAAAAGAAATACAAGACAAGAATGTCTCTTCTCATTGGAAATCAGTTATGTGCTCTGCACGATAAATGCGTAAGCGATCATGTATATTTCGATACATGGCTGACGAAGCAGATATTTTCCCGCAGTAGGTTGACATTTCTGCCGTAGATTAGTTGCCATGCAAGTCGATAGAACCCGGTCTGTCCTGCTACTTACCCATAGCTAAATACAATATTGTTATAGAGTAGTTTCACAGTCGAAGATTGTATTTCACTAAATCGGTCCTAAAATAGGTTCGACGTACAAAACGTTAGGAACTTGATATAATAGTTAATGACGCAGCAATCTAGTTGTGGTGGCTGATACTTTAATATCCGACTAACGGTCGTCCGACATCGACTCACTGAGCGACTGGCGACTGCTACTACTCCTACTTATTATAGGTGGGAGAGTCTATTAACAATAGAATAGGTGTGTTCCAGTATAACAAATATCGATTGTTATCTACTGCCTTCTTCATTCCTCTTTTATTTTTCTCTCTTAATGTTTTCCCTTTCTTATTCTTTCACTCAGTAACCCTTTAACTTAGTGACATTGTCACCTTGCTTGCTTTTTTATGATTAAAAATAGAAAACAAAGCCCGCTTTATGATTTCATATTAAATCGCTATTCTACTGATTCTTGATTCCTCTTCTATTTTTCTCGTTCCTTTATAATGTTTTCATTGTTCTTATTTTTTCTCACTCAGCAAACCTTTTGTC